AGAGAGAGAGAGAGAGAGAGAGAGAGAGAGAGAGAGAGAGAGAGAGAGAGAGAGAGAGAGAGAGAGAGAGAGAGAGAGAGAGAGAGAGAGAGAGAGAGAGAGAGAGAGAGAGAGAGAGAGAGAGAGAGAGAGCTAGAGAGAGCGAGCTAGAGAGAGAGAGAGAGAGAGAGAGAGAGAGAGCAATGTGCGACCTGATGCCAGCCTCCCAGCCCCCGGAGAAAATCGGCAAAATGAAAAAGTTGAGGAGAACTTTGTCGGAGAGTTTCAGGAGTATTGGTGAGTAAACGGGACGTGTTTTCATTTCTCCTGCTCTTTGTGCCGAATGTGAGAGGAGACATGTCTCCAGCAGCAGCAGCAGGCTGCTCCTCTATGAGGGGATGTCTGCTCTGTTTGGGGTTAGCAGCCATGGAAAACCTACATCAGCTCAGCCTGTCCACATTCCCTTCAGCTCACTTCCTTTTCTTTTTTGGAGACTAAAGGGACAGATTCATAGTAAACACTGTGTAGTTACAGTTATGAGCACAATACATAGATGGAATGTTTCCCTGGAGATCTGATGTTGCATTTAAGGTTGATTGCTCAATATCACCCTCAGCTCACATGCGTCATTGTAGTTTAACATAGTCCTCATCATCATCATCCATTCTTCATTCAGTTCTAATCTCACGTAGAGGACACTTGACCTCAGCATGAGTTTGAAATGTCACTGAGTGTATGCCGTGTAGACCTAACTCTTCCTGTTTCCGTGGTGGTCGCCATTTCTCCTCAATGCACATTGTGATAACGATACCAGCTGTTTTCTTATTATCCATTAATCTGCTGATTTCCGTGATGAGTCGGTTCATCACAGTTTCCTCAAACTCAAGGTGACATCTGTCAGTTTCTTGCTTTGTCCCACCAAACGTCTCAGAGATTTACTTTAGCATCACACAATAGAAGGAATACACTTTCTACTTGAGAAATGACTCAAAGATAGTTATTCATGTCATGTAGATCAGCTGATTGATTCATTGACTGACGGCTCACCACTTAGTTGAACAAATATTGTGTACATACATGTACATGTACATGTACGTACATACATATGTATGTATGTACATGTATACATGTATGTACATACATATGAGCAGGACGTTCTACAGCACCTCTGCTTCTACAAACAAACCTTTGACATTTCTGTACTGCAGTTTCTTGTTGGTGCTGATGTACCTGTGACACTCCAATCATCATCAAGCTCTTCATCATTGCATTCCAATCTCATGTATAGACTGTACTTGATCTTTCAGGACATTTATCGTATGGACACTTATTTGTACGCCAATAAATACCATCATCCATCGATATTATCTCCATCTAAAAATAGCAGACCACATCTGTTCCCCGGTAGAGAGGTGTGATATACTGTAATATATATGTAATATAATATATATTCTTGCTGCTGACCACTGCTGGATACAGTTGTGTGAAAAAGTGTTTGCCCCCTTCCCGATTTCTTATTTTTTTGCATGTTTGTCACACTTAAATGTTTCAGATCATCAAAC